CCCCCCCCCCCCCCCCCAGATACCGCTGCTCGGAAACTTTGATTCCTTCTCCTTTTTTTGCCCTGGGCGAGTCCCCCTCCCCACCTGTTGTGAGCTCCGCCTCGGTCCCCGGAGACTGGCGGTGACACACGCGGGCGCCGGGAAGCTCCGCACCCAGAAACAAAGTCGCATGCCCCCTCCCCAGTGTTTGCTTCGAAATCGTAGCCTGCAGAGCCCCCCCCTTTCCGCGCAGCTCCCGCCCCTGTGAGAATAAGGACTAAATAAACAGTTGTAACTTCAAACCTTGCGCCTGCGATCGTATCCCTTTCCCACCCCCTTCCCCCTTCCTCCCCCCTCCTTTTTTGTTGTTGCAACTTTGTAAGATCCTGGGGAAGGTGCTGAGACTTTGGCTCCGGCCGATTTCCCGGTCTCGGGATCCTTGCAGGGATTCCCTAAGCCACATCCTCCTTTCCGTCCACCCGCACTCGCGGGTCCTCCTAGTCCGCCGCCCTCTCGGTCTTGGCCCCCCAGCCTAATCACTTATCCCACCCCCCCCAGTTCCCCCCAACCTGAGCCGGGAAGACTTGCTGAGGGTCGCCCTGGTTTCTTGTCGACCGCAGAACCCGAAAGTTTGCAAGAGGAAGAGAGCGCGCGGCGAGCAAACGGGCAAGGGGCAGCGGCAGCGGCAGCGGCGCCGGGGACCATGGTGCTGCCGGCGCCTCCTCCGCGGGCGTGAAGGCGGCGCTCCCACTCCCTCCCCGGACTCTGCGGGTAAGTCGAGGCGGCCGCGGGTGCCGGGGCGTGAACGCGGGCGGGGGCAACCGATACCCTAGAGCCCCCGGGGGCTCTCTGCTCAAAGCGCCAGCCTGGGCGGCGCGAGCGTAGGGATGAGGCTCCCGGAGCCAGGATTGTGCCCATCCTCAAGCTGGTAGGTGCTTCGAAATACTGGACTTTATTCTCTTTTTTTTCTCCCCTTTCCTAAATCCGAGAATCTGGAGATCAAAGTTTAGCGTGGAGTGTAAAGTGCTCCGATAAAATATGGTGACATCTCTCCCCCCCTTCTCACCCCACTCCCCTCTTATAACTATTAATTATTTCCAAGTCATTGTGTCCAAATACCCTTGCCGGGCTGATTACAAAGTGTATTGATTTAGTCTGGGCTCATCCTACGCATTGGTTTTAATTCATTTTCCTTTTGCTCGACCAGAAAACCCGAAATGAAACTTATTTCTTCCTCTTCCCAACACCCCGCCCCCAGCAAACCTCCACCACCACCACCCCCCACCCAGCCCTCATTGCTGAGGCTTGGGCAGAATAATGAAATTAATATAAACATTTCATTTGGTTGCATTTAAGCTTCTCCAGCCCACTTATAAGGGGCTGGTGTTGCTCTCCTGTCCGGTCACAGGTATTTTGTAAGTTTGGATTTCCTTTTTTGTTACTGCTTTTTAAACGGGAATGCTGGAAGGGCATTCTGTATTCCTTTTAAAAGGAGGCTATACCTTGAAACCATGTACACTTTACCTTTGGTTGTCCGTAGGCTTTAGGATTTAGGGCTTGCACAATAGCTGAATTGAAAAACCTGAAGGATATTTAAGGGATTTTTTCTACTGCTGAAAATATATTGAAGAATCTCTGCAAATTTTTACCTTCTATCTTCTTTCCTTCGTTTTTCCATAGTGATCATCAGTTTGAGGGGAGATGTCTTAAGTAGAATTTGAAGAGAAGTGGTCAGAGTTCAGGTGTTTTTTACTCAGGGTTAGCCTGCATAATTGAGACAGAGGAGTTGCTGTTATTTTCAGTTCCAGAGAGAAATGTATCAAATCTTTTTTAGAATTCCACTGGAGTTTTGATTCTCAAAGTGGAAATACCCATCTCTTTCAGTCCAGGAAAAGAAAATTGAGCTTACAGCTTCAGAGATTTGGAATGGTTTTTTCCCCCTCCTCCCTGACTTTTCTACTTGAAACATCTCATAATTAAAGAGCATTAAAAATATAAAAAGGAACTCAACTAGTTACCATTCAGAAGATGTCAGCTAAAATCTCACTGCAAAGGGGGTAAAAAAGGTTTAGCATCTTACCACACTGGCTGCCTTTTTCCCCCCTTAGACTTTGGATTAGTCATTGTATGAGAGAGAGAAAAAGAAATCAGTTTTTTTTTTTTTTTGGAAAAGTAAAGTAAACAGCCTCCAACTGCTGAACCTTGACAACCCAAATTAAGGAAGCAGAAGAGATCAAACAGAACTGCAGCTGGGTTGTTGTCAGGAGCTCTACATGGAGAACCCTGGACTATTCGATCAAGCAGCAAAGCTAGATATTCACTAATGCAGAAATGGGCCATTGCAAATGCTGATCTTTGTTGTGCATGCTAAGGCTCAGGAAATACTCGGCCCCTCTCTCGTCAGCATTCGAGTCCCTTATGGATGTCGAGTTGCTAAATAAGTTATTTTTCTCATACAGTCTGGTTTATGAAGAGCGTGCGCGCAAAAAGGTATGGAATGAATATTAAGTCTTCCAGAGGCTGCCTTGCTACCCAGAACTGTGGAGTGGAATTCTTTTTACCAACATTAGACTCCTACACTAGAGTTAGGTAACGTTTTCTCACATCAAGTTTAGAAGATCTGCCTTGTCAGGAAAGCCAAGGTTTTGTATGTGAGGGTTTAAATCTGATGTGAAGCTCAAAAAGAAAAAAAAAAAAATCCCTGGTGATGAAGTTTTGTGTCAGCCCACTCTTGGAATTTAAAAAGGCGAGAGGGAGCATTCTCCAGATTAGACATAACCTCTTTTTTTAGATTGACATTCAATATGACCACGTTGCTACTTTTATTCAAGTTCTCTGTAACTTGTCCTTGCTTGTTGTCTAGGAAAATTTAACTGCTTTACATTTTTAAAGGGAGTAGTAACAGCAATTACTTTAGCATTTTGTTTTCACAGGTTTATCAAAGTATAATGAAAGCAACATCAACTATTCAAATTAACTGTCTCAAATTAAGGGGGTTATATTGCTAGAGAGGTCTGTGAGATTTTGTATTTATATTTAAAGGCTGGAGTAAAAACTGTAACACTTATTTTTTCTTTTTTGCTATAAACTATCCTCAAATTAAATGTCATTTTTAATTAAGTAGAACAAAGTAGGAAATAGGACAAGTAAACACATAAAGAATAAAAATGATTGTTACTTAAGGATTGCATTTTTAATTACCATGTCGATCACATAGTAAGCACTTTTTGTTTTTTTATGTCAGAGTTTCATAACCATAGTGCCCAACATGTTTCAAAGTGTGTAGCTTTTATTGGATATATCTTTTATTGTATAATTAAACAATGTGAGTTAAACATACACATAGATGCTATTAGGCAATTCTGTGCAATATGTAATGTTTTTGAAAAAGCTATAAATATTTTCTCGTTAAATCATTTGTACCAACAATAACAAAAGTTGACTGGGTTAATATTGAGCTGAGGTATGGTTTTCTGTTAGTAAGTTTTTCCTTGCTTCTCCTAAGACTCTACCCCTGGCCTTGTATATTTGCATTCTTAGGCTCTATTGAAGGATATGTCTGTTTTCAGCAGTCGTTTAAATTAACAAAAGGATTGTGATATTTCCTAAACAATTATATTTATACTTCAGCACGTCCAGTGCCCACATTAAGAAAGTGAAGGGAGAATATAGCAGATGTGACAACTTCTTTTGAATGCAGCTTCCTCTTTGCAGCCAATCTTATTGTGCTGTTTATTTAGTTTTCATGTTTTACTTAAGACTAAAACTCAATTTTGAAATGTTATCTTGTAAGACGCCACATCACAAAAAAGTATGTGTATTCAGACAATGTTAGTTGTTCTCATACCGATCACATTTCAGTGAGTATGCCAAGAATATTTACAGGGCATTACAGGAGTTCTGTCTTTTAAAAATAATTTTAGGCACACGTTAATAAAATTTAAATAGATTGCAGGCTGTCAGAAAATAGTATAAATTTTGTTTATGATTCAGTTACTTTAAGGTACTTACATTAAAGAAACTCATTTAACCCCTGACTGAAGAGCATTAAGAGGGGAGGGAAGCCCTCCAAAGAGCTCCCACTGCCCTTTGCTCTCCTGATAATCTTAAATTACTACAATTTAATTGCAACTTCAAGGCATTGAGCCTGAGCTATTTCTGTGGGGCTGAGAAAGGGTTTTGAGTGCATAGCTAGATTTGCACAGGTGGCATTTTTGTTTTTCAAAAAAAATGTTTTTGCTAAGGGCTCTTTCTTTTCCTTTCTTATCCTGTTAGGTGTCCTCCTCCTTTTATAGAATTCAGTCATAGTAAATGCCATTTTTTGCTAAGCCAGCCTTTTTTTTTTTTTTCCTATGTTTTTTTGGACCTAATGTGTATAAAGGTCTCAAGCAAGTAGAGGTTTGTTTTCTAAAGAAAATAACCTTATGAGAGGCATCTGCTGAATAGACATGAGCCAACATATACTTTTACTATTTGCAGGGGATTTTTTTTTCCTTTGGTTGATGGTAGTAATCCCACCAGGTGATCAAATACTGAATTTGTGAATCAGGCCAGCAAGCCACGTAAGTTTGCATTTGGGCCCGTGTATTTCCTAAATGATCTTTCTCATGACTACTTACACTGGTCTTTAGGCCACTTTGCCATAATGCATGCTGTCCAAGGAGCCATCTTAAACCGATTTTTAAAAATACTTCTCTTCCATGGTACTCAGATGAATTAAGGTTAGAGGTGCCAAAAGCTGGGACATCGGCAGGCCAGGAGATGGAACAAATTCCTGAAACAGGGGAAAACCTAGCCAAATATGGGGTATCTTATGCATGACAGTTGTTTTTTGTTTGTTTTTTTTTACCCCACCCCCCTTGGGACATACATAGTTTATTTCAATGTGCATGTGATGATGTGGTTAATGGAAATTAAGCATATTTGGCTGGTGTCGCCAACCTAAAAATAAATGTTGTAAGGAATGTTTGATTTCAAGAAGTGCTTTGGTTTTTCATCCTATAGATAATATTCTTACAATTATGGCTACAAGGCTGGTCTTCCGGAAAGAGGAAGTACAGTGGGGTGAAGTGCATGGCAGTCGGGAGAGACAATTAGTGTTCTTTGTTTCTTTAATAAATTATTCTTATTAATTACAGTCAGTTGGTGTTAAGGCATTTTTCGGGTTGCATTTAGAAGCCAGTTCCCATTCAGGAGAGGGTTGTGCCAGGAGCTGTCTGCTTTCCCTCATGCTCTTGTACCCAGTCATGAGACCTATGGACCAAATTAGCTGTGGATGTCTCTGCAAGGCTTGTTTTTCTTTTTGAAATCCCTTGAGGGCAGTTTTTAATATATGCCCTGCCTAGTGCACAACAGGTGTTTGGTAGTTATTTTACGGGATTTAAAGTGAGAAAAACATTTCCTACCTAGCCAGCCCCTGGGAGAGAGAACTGCTTAAGAGAGAGACCGTGGTACCTGAGCAAGTGTAGATGGGCTTTTCCTGAAGGCTCTCCACCAGCTGTGCTGTTTAAAGAAGGTGGGGGAGGGGGCTCAATTTCGTGCCTTGATATTTGCAATTAAGTTGTAGTAATTCAAGATTGCCTAGATAGTGCAAAGGGCAGTGGGGACTTTTTAGTGGTCTTCTCTTGACGCTTAAAGCTGCTCAGTCATGGGGTTAAATTAGTTTCTTCAATCTGAGTACTTAAAGTAACTAAATCGTAAACAAAATTTATATTAGTTCCTGACAACTAATAATCTATTTAAATTACATTAAAGTATCTAGGCAAAAATTTAATTAAAGACAGAAGTACTGTCAAGCCCTGTAAATATCTTGACAGGTCTACTCAAATGGAACTGATATCACGAAATATTTACATATGTCTGGTGTGTTCGGGAACATCTCGGCAGTGCCTGTGCAAAGCTAATTGCACTTTCTTTCCAAATCACATTTTTAATAAAATAGTTTCTTTTTTTTTTTAAAAAGGAACATGAATACATACAAAATTGTGTTCAAATGTTGTGTTTACTCTTTAGTTCTCTCTCCTTAGCACTCTGATGGGTATATTTCCTCCAGCTGCTGCTAATTCAGACAAGCGTCTGAAATGGAGGGATCACCAACTAGAAAACTCATGTCATTTTGTTTTATTTCAACAGTTTATAGATAGCAGAGGTTAGTGTGTTATGGGACAATTTGCTGAGGGGAAAAAATGGGTATAATCGGGGCATTGTGAGGTTCCTATTTAAATTAATTAAATAGATTTACTTAGGATGGGACAAAGGTTTTTCCTCCTGATTTTTGTTTTTAGATACATATTTATTTCTCAGTAGTAAGTCAGGTGGACATCTATATTTTGCTAGATTACTTGATTTTCGCTGATACTGTGATCAGCTGTATTTACTAGGACCCTGAATAATATTTCTAGCATCAGGCTCAAAA